AGATTGTGTTTCACTCTTTGATTCTCTTCCCTTGGATATTATATATGTGTGTGAGTGTCTGTTTGTGTGTATGTTTTTTTATTTAACTAGTTATTGTGCTTCAATTTAACTTGTATTGTTTAAAAAAGATGTAAGATAGAACATGTTTCCACATGCGTTATTGTTTACTTTAGTGTTTTACAATTTGTGTTTATTATTTCTCTGTCAGTGCTATAGTTTGGGTGTTGAAAACATGGAACATCTCTCTGGAGAAGAGCTTCATACACCCGATTCCTTTCTTGTCATTTTTAATGGTTTTATCCTTGGCAAGCACAGGAGACCACGGGTATTGATATGCTTTTTATCATATACAATTTGTACTTGTTCAAATATGCATTCATAATTATTTCATTTTATCGTAAACCTTAAAATTTTATTGTTCTAGCGTTTTGCTACTGCAATGAGAAAGTTGCGAAGAGCATGTCTAATTGGCGAATTTGTGAGTATCTATGTCAATGAAAAACAGGTGAGTACTTCTGTTGCAGTTGATTCTTTTTCCATTTTATTCTCACTCTTTTGTACTTATACTATTTATTTATTTATTTATTTTTAGTTCAGTCATTTTTTTGGGTTGGTGATATCTCTTAATTGGTGTATGTTTCAGTTTTTATTTTCATATTTAAAAATATGGTTATACTGTTTGTGTTTGTAAGTATGTTATATTTAAAATATTTAAAAATATGCCAAGAATATACTATTTTACTCTAGTTTCATCGCTGAGAGTGAAACTTTCAATATTACTTAATGAGTTGAAGTGTACAAGGTCTAATATGAATATTATTGAACGAGTTGAAGTGTACAAGGTCTAATATGAATATTATTGAACGAGTTGAAGTGTACAAGGTATATATAAATAATTAGACCAGTTCTATTTACTAGATAAATAATAAATACACTAATGCTGATCATTGCAAGTATTATACTCCTAATAATTACATATGCAATTTGACCCTGTATTTACAACAATTGCTATCTATTTCCACTATCTATGGGTTAGCTCAAAATCTATACTTATTGTGCTTCTTCAACTGTTGTAATGTTAGAAGGGAGTGAGTTGAAACTGTTATTAACGGACAAAAACATGTTTTCAGTGTTGTGTTTACTTAGCTTCAGATGGTGGTAGAGTTTGCCGTCCTCTTGTCATTGCTGACAAAGGAATATCAAGAGTCAAAGCTTATCATATGAAAGAGTTAAAGGTAATCTTATCATATGCTTTTATCTTGAAATAGAGAATGAGAGCTGTTTATAAAAATATTAACTCAAATGTGTTTTCAGGATGGAGTGTGCACATTTCGTGACTTTTTACGTAAGGGCTTGATTGAGTATCTTGATGTCAATGAGGAAAACAATGCTATGGTGTGTTTTTCTCAAATTAAATCTAGCTTCTTTTGTCTTTAAAATCTTATTCTTGACAACCAGTGCCTCTTTTTGTTTATAGATTGCTTTATATGAAGGAGGTGCAACATTAGAAACTACCCATATTGAGATTGAGCCTTTCACTATCTTAGGAGTTTGCGCGGGGCTAATTCCATACCCTCATCATAATCAATCTCCTAGAAACACTTATCAGGTTGTTCCTCCTTGGCCCCCTTTGGTTTTAAGTTAGTAACTAAGATTTTGCACTTGTAAGAATAGACAATGTTCATTTCCGTTCTTGAAATAGCTTTTGTTCTGTTCACTGTAGTGTGCAATGGGAAAGCAAGCTATGGGAAATATAGCATATAACCAGGCAAGTAAACAATTTGTTGTTTATGCAGCTTAAACTTGATGAAAATATTATCCATATATTTTTCTAAACAAATTTATTAAATTTAGACTAATTTTTTTAATGAGTCAATTTCTATTAGCTTTATTTCTTTAGTCTGTATGGAATTAAATACAAACATATGTTTAGGTCTGCAAATACTGTTTTTGAAATATACCTGAACCATATGGTCTCTTTTCAAAATGATACGCAACATCAGTTTTTATCGAGTTACTCCGCTTTTGGAGTGAGGCCTTCTATGTTAATGTGCATTTTATTGCCTGGAATCCGAAGCTCTTAAATTTAATGCCCATAAAAGTTTGTTATCTATGCCCCCCACCCACCACATTAGAACCTATTTGTGCTGCAATGTTTGACATGATATATGTTCTATTGATTTTTATTTTGATTATTATGAAATTAGAAGCGGTGAAGTTTGCACTGTATGCTAGCCGGGTGATTGTAGAGGTGTTGTAATGTATCAATCATGTTAATACTTTGGATGGTGATCTAATTCGAAAGTATAGAAATGAATATATGTCTAAGCACAATAGTTTACACGAGGACCTAATATTAGGTTCTCTTTACCGGCCTAATCATTTTTCAATGTAGGACTTGAGTTTTTTATAATACGCCCATCCACCTCCCACACTATTGAGTTTGGTGTGCTGACAATTTGGTTGGTGGTCCAAATCAATAAGCTATTATAAGATTTTAGGTTTTTATTTTGAATCTGATTCATCCTTACAAAATTGGTTGGAAGGTATGTAGTGCCACTCTTTATACTGTTTCAATGCAGGCCTTGGATTTTTTCCAATAACCGATGAGTTGCAACTATTTTCTATGAAGCACGAATAATTTTAAAAAATTAATAATTGAACGTAATCACAGGCGTCGGTGTCAGTATCCGTCACAGACACATACATGCATTTATTCAGAAGTTTCGGTGCTACAGAGACTGTTTTTCTTCTTGCATTTCGTGTGTAGAGTAACTATGCTGCTGCACTGTGTTTTCTTTGTAGAGTATGTTTGTTCTATTAAAGATAAACTTCGATATTCCATGCTTAGTGATGAAGTTTTAATTTGGTTTTTTTAGCTCCGACGAATGGACACCTTACTTTATCTATTGGTTTATCCTCAACGACCTTTGTTGACAACAAAATCAATTGAGCTGGTAAGTAATGCTTCCATTGTTTTATTTCTCAATGTGTCAAGGGCTCTTATTAATCTTTAGGCTTTTAGGTTGGATATGATAAGCTTGGAGCAGGTCAGAATGCCACTGTAGCCGTAATGAGCTACAGTGGTTATGATATTGAGGATGCAATTGTCATGAACAAGTCATCTCTTGATCGAGGCTTTGGTCGTTGTATAGTTATGAAAAGGTATATACTATTTTATTTGGTGATTTCACTTCTCTGGTTGCAACATATTTCATTGATACGTTTTTTAAGTAGCAATGTCAAGCTTGATAGTCTTGAATGTTTAGGTATGTTGCCGTTAGACAAAAGTATCAGAATGGCACACAAGATCGTATATTGAGGCCCAATAGAGCTGCAGACTCGGGGGGAAATATGCAGGTGATATGCCTTCAGTTTCTATAGTAATATATTTTTAATTGATGTTACATAAGATGTATTGAATTAAAATTGAATATTTCAATACTTTTAAAAAATCTCTTGATCGAGGCTTTGGTCGTTGTATAGTTTGTATAGTAATATATATGTACAAGAAATTGTATATAGGACTAATGTATTCTTACTAAAATTAAATTAGTAATTAGTTTTTTCCCTAACTGTTGAGATATCATCGGTGCTCTCAAAACCTATAAGCAGCCGCCTCTGACTATGCAACAAAAAGTCCTAGACAACACCCTTCATTACTATCTCAATCATTCCCGCAATGACAACTTGACGTCGTGTTTGCAGTCTAATATTTACATTACTCCCCCTCAAGTTGGTGAATGGCTAGTAAGTTGGTTGAATCGCTCTGTTGGTAAACCCTTTATTAACACATCGGTGAGCTGAGGCCCATTAGTATGTAGGCAGTACTTATCAATCCACTATCCAACTTTTCTTCAATGGAATGTCAATCAATCTCAATGTTTTTTGTGAGAGAGATGCTTATAATATGTGAACGGGCACATAGCTCTGAACCCTGCTTCAGCGCTTATTCGAGTAAGTACACTTCGCGTCTTACTCCTCCAAGCAAGAAGGTTTTCATACAAGAAGATACTATAGTCTGAAGTAGATCTTCTATCAACTTTCCCACCAATTTCTGATATGGACCCTTGTCAACTTTGGCACTTTCCTCTTTGCACTTTAACTTTAACTGAAAGCTGTTTTCAAGCTAGCCTTCTATCTCAGACAGTTTTTTGTTAGGAAATCAGACTTTTCTATGTTAGGAAGTTTTCATTTTTTATAAGTTGGGAAGTAATTCGAACAGGGAAACAAACCTTTATGATTTTCGAGATTCCTTATAGTCTAGAATCCTTATTTCCTTTATTTATTTACCAGTTTCCAGATTTCCTTGTAATGTTCTTTTTTTATTAGTTTCCCCATTTCCTTGTATATTCGCTATTCTGATTTTATTGCTGATATTAAATACATTGTCTAATCCCTAAATCATTTCCCAGGTAATTAAATAATTCTGCCCCCTGTTTTCTTGCTTGCTCTAGATACTTGATGATGATGGGATTGCTGCTCCTGGAGAAATTATTAGGCCAAATGACATTATGGTAAACAAGCAATCACCAATTGATAAGCAAACTCATGGATCTATAGCTAACTTGCCCGATAGGTTTGTTTTATTGACATTAAAATTTTACTGTGGTTAAGTTTGTGTTAAATAGATTTTTCTTCATGTTTTTCCTAAATGTTTTCCTTATATGCAGTGCATATCGGTCCAGTCATTCAACTTTCAGTAAATGTCATGGAGGTGAAGTAGTTGATAGAGTAGTTCTTTGCAATGATAAGGATAGTAACATGTGTATCAAACTTCTAGTCCGTCACACAAGGAGGCCTGAGGTAAAGTTTTGTTCGGTTTATTGTGAGGTTCTGTTCTTGATTTGAAGCAGCTGATTGATTTCTCAGGCTGTATTTGTTTCCTTGGCTTGGTGATAAATTCAGTAGCAGACATGGGCAGAAAGGTGTTTGTGGAACAATTGTCCAGCAGGAAGACTTTCCCGTTTTCTGAGAAAGGCATTTGTCCAGATCTGATTATGAATCCTCATGGGTTTCCAAGGTAATTCATATCATTCTCACTAGTTATATGTTGACACTAAAACGGAGCAGGATTCTGAACTTCAAAGTAATGTTATATTTAAATAAGATTAATGTTCTTCAGATGGAGAAGAAAACAAACAGTAAAGGTAGAGTTTTTTATTTCTTTAATGAAAGTTTGACAATGCCAAAATGAGGGGGCGTTAAGGTCAGAGATATGTGTAACTTGTGTGAGAACATCGGATAGGAGTTCACTGAGGCCAACTTTGAGGCACTATCTTTGTTATTTGTTTACCAATATACTTATGGAACATATCTAAAAGTGGGTGTCACAATGCATTTTTTAAAGATGATATAGTTGTTGATAACGAGGAATTAAATTGGAAGGTAGAGATGTGAAGGAGTGTGTGCTATGCGGTAGAGTATCGGTGCTCAAATGGTCTTTTTGTAGAATGGATGTGATTTCTCTTTTATGCTTAACATTAAAATAACTATTTTTAAATTAATAAATGTGTAAGTACAATGTTACATGTGTTCTGGATGTGAACTAATATTTCTATGGCATCAGTCGAATGACAGTTGGAAAGATGATAGAGCTTCTTGGAGGGAAAGCAGGGGTTTCATGTGGTAGATTTCATTATGGCAGTGCTTTTGGGGAAGAAAGTGGCCATGCTGACAAGGTTGAAACCATAAGGTATCATGTTTCTCTCTGGTAAGTTTTATATGGTTTATCTGTTTAGTGTTCTCATCGTTTTCTTGCTTTGGCAGTGAAACTCTTGTGAAACACGGCTTCAACTACAGTGGGAAAGACTTCATTTATTCAGGTTTTCATTTCACTTTAGAATTCTTGGTTTTATTGCAGATGGAAGTATTTTTTAAATGAAGAGTATTATGTTATCAATGATAGATATTTGTTTAGGGTGGTTGTGGTAGTACCTAATATCGCAGAAGCTTTACATTAGGATCATAGTAGTGTCAATAGGCATAGCATTGATAAAGGTTGTCTCCTCTTGAATTTCCATTGTACGCTTACTTTAGGAACTTCCTTCTAGACATTTTATTTTAAAATGTTGATAATAATCGTGGTGTTCACTGTTTGTAACAACAATGTTGTCAATGTACACTAACACAACTAAGTATAAGTAAACCGAGAAGTCATACTCACTCTTTACCTTAGCAAACTATTGAATCGAAGTGCTAAATCTACCCTACTAAGCCGTAGGGAATTGCTTCAACCATATAGAGATTTGCAAAGATGAAAAACTTGTCTTGAAACGTAATGCTGTGCAACAAATCTAGGAGGTTGCTCTATATCAAATCTTGATTGAGATTACCACGGGTGAATGCATTTTATGGAATAGGTGTCACCATAATGCAAGTCAAAAATCTGGGATAACCTTTAGCAACTAGATGAGGCTTGAGCCGGTCATCAAGATTCACTCTAACTACGAAGATATGCCAACGTCCTATTTACTATCTTTCTTGGAGAGAGGGAAACATGGTTCTAATGTTCCACGCCATTAAGTGCACAACTTTGATCAACTGTAGTCTATAGTCATTCTAGAAGCGAAAAGGCTTAACCTATAGTCCCACGAATGTAGATGTAACATGGATTTACAAAAGTGGCTAAGTTGTGTTGTGCATATACGAGTGAAGAAAAAAAAGAAAAAAGAAAAAAGTCTCTTCTACCCTACTTCACTCTTCTCAGTGTATTGCATGTCTAACCGATATAAACGAGGTTATTTACAAAAAAAGTGTACCTGATATACATTGGTTTGTTAAAGCTAGTATGATAGTTACGAGATCCTTAACATAAATCGGACAACGGAACTCATCATGAAAGAACTCAACTGAAAACAGCTTAGTAGAATAGTTACGAGATCCTAAACCATTTTCATATAAGCTGTGTTATCATCAGCTATCCTAGAGAGTTATGAAAATAAGCTGAAAATAGCTTATGAATATGTTATAAGTTGTTTTCATAAGTTCTCTCACACAGGTTTGCAAGTAATAAACTAAAATAAGTCAATCTAAACAGACCCTAAAAATGCACCTGAACAGGAAGAGATTTTGAGATTTTGGAACTGGTAAGAGAGTTTGTGGCCCATAGATGATACTGCTTCTCAAAATTGCAAAGTTTGGGAAATTTTCCGAAATGAACTTTTCCGCCACCAATTTAGTTTTTCCATAAACATTAACAGGAATAACAATGTCTTCTTCCTTGTAAAAGGACTTCTGCCCTTCATAAACTAATGAGAACAAACATAAATTACAATTTAGCTGAAAATCAGTATAAATGAAAATGGATATGAACAATCAATGCAATATATCGATCACGAGCTGAAAATCAGTATAAATGAAAATGGATACGAACAACCAATGCAATATATCGATCACGATAAGATCGGTTTACCTTGATCTGTGGAGAGATGAATGAGAAGGGTACTGTTTTGTGTAAAGCTCTGCATCCATTTTACAAGGGATGATGGTACATTAATAGCATTTGCAGTATCAGGATCAATTTCACATGCGCGAGGCACCAAGATCGTAGCACAATTGATAACCACGTCAGGCTGCCAATAACAAACTGACAGTCTAGCAATAAACTGTTTTGAATAAGCTATAAATCGTTTATAAGCTAAGTTTAAGCTCTCTCAAACTGTATTAAAGTGTCTGCGAATGTAGATAAGCTAAAATAAACTTATCCAAACAACTCCTATTGCTAACAACGCACGTCTAACTTGTTGTAATGCTAATTGGTAGCCCTTTTACATTCTGTATTGAATCTGATCACCCTAATTACTAAAAAAAAAAGTAAAAATCAAGTTTTGTGAGTGACCTAATTGAAATGAAAGTTGGGAGAGTGGAAAAGAGAGAAAAGAACCTGGCCGAATTCGTTGGAAATGGCTTCAAATCCTTAATCTCGGTCCTGCCCTTTGTTGTTGACGTAGAGTGGAGACTGAGTCGTGCTTTTCCCATTGTGTTATGTGCGTAACGGTCGGTCGGGCTCTTACCAAAATCACTGGTCTTTATGTGCTTGGTGGATGGGTTCTCACCCAAATCATGGCAGTCGGGTACTCACCGAGATCGCGCATAGGTCTTTAAGACCCACATAATGCAAGCATAAAAAAATCAGATAAGTTAAAAGCAAAAAGGACTAAACCAGATAGATAAAAAGCACACGATATTATGAACTCATACTCTCACATTTAACTAAAGCACACAGTACTAAATAAGTACCCCAAATGATGAGAAGAACCATCCAACAGTTTCCTCTCATAAACTTTTTGGTTAAGTACCCCAAATGATGAGAAGAACCATCCAACAGTTTCCTCTCATAAACTTTTTGGTTAAGTGACATGACACCTTTAAGCCCCTTTAACATGGAGTTTTGAAACTTGATAAGAGATGGGTGGAAATCAACTCACAAAACCGAAGAGAAGGATGGGTGGAAATCAACTCACAAAACCGAAGAGAAGGGCGAGGACGAGGAAGGCATATGCAAGGTACTATCATTTTTCGGTGCAGCAGCTGGCACTCTAGACAGTAGTAACAGTGGTCACATGGCAGAGGCAATCAGGCATCATGGTGGTCGGAGCCTGCTACAGAAACATGGAGGTTAGAGTTTTACAATTTTAGTTTCTTGATGATTAATTAGCCATCAGTCGAAGGAGTTTTGGTTAATTCATCCATCTTCTAGATCTTGTTGACCGGTATTGCTATGATAAGCCCGTTGTTGCCACGATGGAACATCTTCACCCTTTCAGGCTTGATACTCGAGAGCCGTGTTTGGTACAAAATAGTTTGGTTTTGTTCTGAATGACCGAGTAACCAAACTATTTTGTACCAAACACAGCTCTCGAGTATCAAGCCTGAAAGGGTGAAGATGTTCCACCGTGGCAACAACGGGCTCATCATAGCAATGACGGTCAACAAGATCTGGAAGATGGGTGAATTAACCAAGACTCCTTCCTCGACTGATGGCTAGTTAATCATCAAACCAAAATTGTAAAACTCTAACCTCCATGTTTTTGGAGCAGGCTCCGACCACCAAGATGCTTGATTGCCTCTGCCATGTGACCACTGTTAGTGCTGTCTGGAGTGCCAGCTGCTGCACCGAAAAATGTTAGTACCTTGCATATGCCTTCCTCGTCCTTGCCCTTCTCCTCGGTTTTGTGAGTTGATTTCCACCCATCTCTTATCAAGTTTCAAAACTCCATGTTAAAGGGGCTTAAAGGTGTCATGTCACTTAATCAAAAAATTTATGAGAGGAAACTGTTGGATGGTTCTTCTCATCATTTGGGGTACTTATTTAGTACCGTTGTGTGCTTTAGTTAAATGTGAGAGTATGAGTTCATAATATCGTGTGCTTTTTATCTATCTGGTTTATTCCTTTTTGCTTTTAACTTATCTGATTTTTTTATGCTTGCATTATGGGTCTTAAAGACCTATGCGCGATCTCGGTGAGTACCCGACTGCCATGATCTGGGTGAGAACCCATCCACCAAGCACATAAAGACCAGTGATTTTGGTAAGAGCCCGACCGTTACGCACATGACACAATGGGAAAAGCACGACTCAGTCTCCACTCTACGTCAACAACAAAGGGCAGGACCGAGATTAAGGATTTGAAGCCATTTCCAACAAATTCGGCCAGGTTCTTTTCTCTCTTTTCCACTCTCCCAACTTTCATTTCAATTAGGTCACTCACAAAACTTAATTTTTACTTTTTTTTTAGTAATTAGGGTGATAAAATTCAATAGAGAATGTAAAAGGGCTACCAATCAGCATTACAACAAGTTAGACGTGCGTTGTTAGCAATTTAGGGGCTGTTTGGATAAGTTTATTTTAGCTTATCTACATTCGCATACACTTTAATACAGTTTGAGAGAGCTTAAACACAGCTTATAAACTATTTATAGCTTATTCAAAACAGTTTATTGTTAGACTGTCGGTTTGTTATTGGCAGCCTGACGTGGTTATCAATTGTGCTGCGATCTCGGTGCCCCGTGCATGTGAAATTGATCCTGATACTGCAAATGCTATTAAGGTACCATCATCCCTTGTAAAATGGATGCAGAGCTTTACACAGAACAGTACCCTTCTCATTCATCTCTCCACAGATCAAGGTAAACCGATTTTATTGTGATCGATATATTGCATTGGTTGTTCATATCCATTTTCATTTATACTGATTTTCAGCTAAATTGTAATTTATGTTTGTTCTCATTAGTTTATGAAGGGGAGAAGTCCTTTTGCCCTATCCTTACTTCCCAATTTATCATACCTGGTAAGCAAGTAAGAGTGCTTTTGGATAATTTTTCTCTCTCAGATTAGATATTATAGTGCTTTCATAATAATTGTAACTTGTAAGGTTCATTTTTTGGTATCTTCCATTTTGTAATATAGGGTTTTAGGTTGGGATATTTTCGATAAAAGAGATGCATTACCACTAACATGACTATAAGTTCAAAAGTCCACAACCCAAGGGGCATTAGACAAAGACTGAGAGACAAACTTTAGAATAACCAGCATGACAATTTTTGCTGATGCCGAAGCTTGCGAAGCCTTAAATTGCAAGTATGTGTTGTACTCACCACATTTTGAACGCGTGATACCCTATCTGGTCCACCAACATTAAGTAACAACTGCATTTGTTTGCTCCCTGTGACAAGAATCAGAAATCAAATCATGAAAGAAAAATCGATAAGTTTAAGCTAGTTCAAAGAACACCCAGAAGTGTAAGACAAAATACCTAAGGAAATTATAATAAATGCACAAGAAAAAAAGTTGCTAGAATATTTAACTTGTACACTAGAAAATGAAAATTTCTGGCATAATATTTTTATAGGTAATAATGATTGAACCTTCTCCAATAAAATT